TCCCTTTTTGATGATGATAAACTTATAATTGAACATCCCAAGAAAAAAGCCACACAGAACCAAACAGTGAACCAGAAAAGCCTTAGTTTCCCCCTGAATCTGTATTCCCCCTTAATCAGTGCACATTAATCAATTATGCACATTAATCTTCCCCCTTTTGGCATCATAAAAAGAAGAGCAACAAGTATATAGCAAAAAGAAGTCTATCTTGAGTTAACTCATGCTACTTGTGTGCACACAACATGACTAAAAATAGAGCATAAAGACAAGGCATAGTTAGCAAAAAGGGAAAAGCTTGCATTATCATTAATTTTGATTTTTTAACAGAAGTAAAGTCAATGTTACTACCACCATCCACAATTTTGAACAACCAAAAAATATACCACAACATCATCATAAAAACTGACACTGAGGGAATAGACCGATCACTAAAGACTGGACACTGAAGGGACGCTGTTTAGGGAGCACTGGAAGGAGATGGCTTAGAAAGGGCTTGGAGGACTAAATCCATTCGAACATTTGTTGATATTTGCTCGTTGAGCAGTCTCTCTTTTAGGTCCTCCATTTGTTTCCTGAGCTCAGCATTCTCTTTTGTCAGACAAGCAACCTCTTCTCCTTGAGAACTACTAGAATTAGGTGCCTCCTGCAGCCGACTTAACTGAGTCTCAATGATAGTATTCCTTGCTTTCAATTGTCGTATCTACAAGGTAGCACTGTTCTGAGCATTGATCAGCTGAGATATGGTACAAGTGCTTCCAACCCCTCCAATTTTCTCGATACACTCACATTCTTCAAGACTATCTTTGGAGAAAGTTTTCTTCTTTGTTCCCACTTTAGCTTGTCTCAGCGGAACCTTCAAGTGCTTAAAGACCTTGGTGAGAAGGAACCTATACGGCAGCCCATGATTAGCATCTTTAAAGTCTGCCAATTTGTTCATGTGCTCTATCATAATCCCAAGTAGGTTGATGGTAGTGAAGATATCCAGTGCTTCCATGAGGAACAGGTATGCACGAGAGGTGATAGATCTTCTCTTAGCTCGAGGCAGCAGTACCTTGTTCACCATCTTAAACAAAAGTTGGTATACAGGAAGGAGGGCCTTCTTCTGAACCCGTTCCCCATGTTGAACTGCTTTGTACTTTAATATGGCATTTCTGATGTTTTGTGAAAAGGATCCATAAACACTAGACATCCCTTCAGTAGGCACACCAAGAATGGACCCTAACAAGGTAGAGTCCATTACCATATCAACTCAATTCACCAACACACAGATGTGATCATCCTCAATTTTAAAAAGGTGAGCATAGAAACTTTGAACTTCCTCTTCATACACCATTGGAGAATCATTTGTGAACAAATGTGTCCACTGTTAGAACTCACAGATCTCAACTAGCTATTTCATACCAGCCTCGTCCAAGATATCAGGGGCAAATATGCGGCTCCATCGCTCAATTTTTACCTTTTTAACCTCTCTTTCCCAGCACTCCTTGGATCACCCACTCTGGCCTTCTTTGAGGAACCAGGTTCCTCATCCCTATTAGTTCTTCTCTTAGCAGACTTGCGAATATTCTTCCCCTTTTCAGCAGCTTTCATAGACTTTTCACCCAACTCTTCCATCACACCATCACCAGACTCTTCCACAGACTTATCACTAGACATAAAATCATCAGACATGTTCAAATTTCCAGTAGACACAGAGGATCCCCCTTTTTGCTTTAGGAGACCATGCTTTTGTGAGAGCTTTCTAGTCAAGGAACCAGGCTCCTCGGCTTCTTCCTCATCCATATCACTACCGACACTGATTTCTCATTCACTGTTTTCCCATCTTTTACCAACTTTCTTCTCCTTGACTTAGCTTGTTTGTTCTTAAGAGCAGACTTAAGAGCCTCCTTCATTTGCAACCTAGTAGTGGGTCGCTTAGGAGTAGACTCTTGAGAAACCATTGGTCTACGGTTAGTCAGGCTTGCTATTGGCAAATCATCAGAATCCTCTTCACTATCACCTTTTTCTTCTCTAGATCTTTCCTCAAGCATCACCACACACAAAGGCTCACCATCAAAATGAGGAGAGAGAGCAGGGTCAATACTGACCTGGGGCTCTTGAGAGGACCCCTAAGTTAGATCTTCCTGAGATGGATCAGGTCCCTCATTTGGTGCCCCAGTAGTATTGTCCTGTGTCGATTGTTCAACAGGCACAAGCTCTCTACCCTCTTTCACAGTCTTAGATTCTTCCCCTTAATTCCTAAAATCATCATCACCTCCTTCTATAATAACCCCTTGGTTAGCTATGTATAGCATGTTCTCTATTGCCTCTTTCTCTTGGACATCCATGGAAAACTTAGTAGAGAAAGGACTGTTACCTGTGGACACAAGATCAGGAGTAGTCTTTGTTGAGTCAACCTTCTTGGAATTATCAGTTTGATGTACCGTTAACCCTTTTTTCATAGGCGAACTTGAAGTTTCCTCATTTTCTTCTTTGTCAGCAGTACTCTGTTCATACCCTTTTTCGGCGAAGTAGGAGAAGGGCTTTGGGCTACAAATCTTTTGGGAGTCGAGATTTTGTGACTCCTATGAGAACCAGAACTCGAGTGGGTAGGAGAGGAGACGGAATGCGGGGGTGACTCTATCCTAGAGTTTTGGATAGTAGTAGTTTGGGGTGAAGAGTCTAATATCGGAGATTCAACAGGTGAGGACTCATTGGGGATGTCGCTTGGAACACTCGAGGTTGTTTGATTTTCAGCCATGGTAAGAAGAAGAGAAGAGATTTGGCAGTTTGAAGAGAGGTAGAGGAATGGGGTTTTGAAATTTGATAGGAGGAGTTGTGACAGTTATAGATGTATTTATGATGGATGAGGGGCCGGTTAAGAAAGAACAGTAGTTTTGGCAGTTGGGTCGGTTCTCAATGGGTGAGACGTTTGGGTTCAAAGGATGCAAAGAAAAAGTAACTGACATACTGATGATGTGGCACTTTTTTTAACCGTTCAAAATTGTGCATGAGAGAACAGAGAAACTACTAACTTGTGTCAGGAGAACCAGGTTCCCTGACTAATCTTGCATCTGTAAGTTTTGCCCTTTTGACCAGCGCGTACTACATCAACTGCCTATTTGCTCTATAATCATCATGCATGTCTACCTGTAATGGTATAGAGGTGAGTTAGACTATGCCAGAAAACACTTTTTAGCTAAATTTACTTGAACATTTATTTCATAGCCAATCATTGAGGGACTAGGTTCCCAATTGGGTTTCATCAACCCTAGTGCCAGACGTTTTTTCTCAAAGTATTCTTTACTCAAGTCTTTGGTGAATATATCTACAATTTGATCTTCAGTGCTGCAGAATTTCATGCAGATAAGCCCTTTTCAACATTGTCTCTGAGAAAATGATGACGTACATCAATGTGTTTGGTCCTCTTATATTGAATTGGATTTTTTGCCATATTGAGTGCACTTGTGTTATCACGTAAGATAGGCACACAATCTGAGAACACAAGTCTTCCAATTGTTTCTTGATCCACATTAGTTGAGCACAGCAAGAGACAGCTGCTACATATTCTGCTTCTGCAATTGAGAGTGCCACTGAGTTCTGCTTCCTTGTACCCCATGAGATTAAGCAAGAACCCAGGAAATGTGCCATTCTAGATGTGCTTTTCATGTCCACCAAATATCCTGCATAATAAGCGTCAGCATACCCAATAAGATCAAAGCTATAACCTGAGGGATAGTAGAGAACTAGATCCTGCATTCCCTTGAGATATCTCAATATTCTCTTGGTAGTCTTCAGATGAGATTCTTTCGGATTAGATTGAAATCTTGCACAAAGACCCACACTGAAGACGATGTATGGTCTACTTGCAGTGAGATATAGGAGTGACCCTATGATCCCTTTATACATGGTTTGATTTACAGTGGAACCAGGTTCATCTATGTCTAGACGAGTAGCTGTGGAAATAGGAGTGTCGATGACTTTTGATGATTCCATGTCAAACCTTTTTAGCAACTCCTTAATGTACTTTTGCTGACTTATCAGTGTTCCCTTCTGAGATTGCTTCACTTGAAGTCCTAGGGAGAAATTTAATTCTCCCATCATACTCATCTCGAACTCACTCCCCGTGAGTCTTGCAAATTCTTCACATAGAGAGTCAGTTGTGGCTCCAAAGATGATATCATCAACATATACCTGAACAATGAGCATGTTCCTCCCTTATTTCTTCCGAAAAAGAGTGTTGTCAATTTTCCCTCTTGTAAATTCATTTTCTAAAAGGAATTTTGACAACCTCTCATACCATGTTCGGGGAGCCTGCTTTAGCCTGTATAATGTCTTGTCCAGTTTGAACACTTGTTCAGGATGCTCGTGACACTCAAAACCAGGAAGCTGCTTGACATAGACTTCTTCTTTCAGATAGCCATTTAGAAATGCACTTTTCACATCCATTTGGATTAGTGTGAACGCCATATGAGATGCAAATGCAATAAGAATTCTAATGCCTTCAATTCGAGCTACTGGAGCAAATGTTTCATCATAATCGATCCCTTCTTCCTGATTGTAACCTTGAACTACAAGCATTGCCTTGTTTCTTGTTGTATTTCCAAACTCATCAAGTTTGTTCCTGAATACACACCTGGTTCCTATGATAGTTCGATCTGCATGTCGAGGAACCAGGTGCCATACCTTGTTTCTTTCAAATTGATGCAGCTCCTCTTACATGGCTATGATCCAGTATGCATCTTTCAACGCTTCTTTGATGTTTTTGGGCTCTATTTGAGAAAGAAAGGCTAAAAAGGCAAGTGAGTTTCTTGCTTTTGATCTGGTTTGAACTCCTGTGTCACGTCCCAAAATACCCCTCTAGACGTGACTGGCACCCAGCTAACACCACCTGTCAGGCGAACCCCTTTCTTTAACATTTAACCATTTACACAAACACTGGGAGAAAAAGAAATACAGACCTAATAGTATTATTAATAATTAAAGAGGAAACAATTATCGCCAATACCTTAGTCAATTGATAGAAAAACCAACAATCACTCAATTAATAAAACTCTAGCCGAAATCCCACACTAAGACCATGGAGCATCTAACAGAGTAATATGAGGTTTATTGACGGGTTTGCAAACCCCAAAGAGAAAAAAAAAACTAACACGAGGTAAGTCTGAAACGAAAGCCTCCACGAACAATGCGCTGGCTCACCTCAGCAATAGGATCCACTCGAACAAACTCTTCAGCCACTAGCTCTATCTCCCGCAACGGTATCTGTATAGAGATGCAGTTAAGGAGTGAGTTATATGTAAATATAACCCAGTAAGATCCTCGACCCGTCACTTTAAATACCTCTGGAACAAGTGTGTGAAAATACAAACACACTGCAACACGAATAATATAGTAAATATGATAATTATACAATAACTCAATATGTGTATCAATAGAGTTATTAAGAATTAACCAACAAGAATACCCACTAAGGACTTATCATAATGGCAGCGAAAAAAATTTACCAACGCACTTACGAGTCCACAATGGCACCACAATGCCTCAAATATGTAACAGAGCATACACAATGCTTGGGGTGATGTACAAAGGTATACACAATGCCCCAACATCATGGCGCACAGCCGTATGAAACTCATCATCATGGCGCACGGCCGTATGAAACTCAACATAATGGCGCACAACCGTATCAAACTCAACATCATGGCGGACAGCCGTATCAAACTTAATATCATGGCGCACAGCCGTATCAAACTTAATTATCATGGCGCACAGCCGTATCACACTATCAAACAACTTATAAAATAATATTTTTTTTCCATAAAATAATATATTTGCGGCTAGTCTAAGACCACTGACTCTTCCAAGCGCACGCTTGTCCCAACACATGGACCAGACAGAGAAAACACATTTTTAAAATGGGTTTTAGGAAAGCAAGTATTAAAGCTTAAAGTCTCACTTACCTCATTAATGATAATTTCCTCAACCTTGCAACATCTAGAACATCAGCCAAATGACATCCAATAACCTCAATCTATACAAAATACTGATAAACAATGTCAACTGTATTAGTTGGGATCATTTCATAATTTTCTTAATTGCAGCTCAAAGCTAAGTCTCGACATTTTACACCTAGGTCATAAACTTAAAGGATAAAACTATCCTAATATCACAATTTAAACTTCAATAACCATACAGTACGAAACAGACGTCCAAATAGGTCTTAGATGCACGTTATGGACGGATTCTCATTCCAACCTTGCACCTAATTTTGAAATCTCATCAACCATTACTCTTCATGTGTTCAATCATTGCACAATTATTAAAAAGATAGAAATCATAACCCATCACTCTAATTCATCAATACACAGATATCTATAGTTAGAGTTGTAAAGCTCATATTTTATCGTACAAATTCAACATATGTGTGCAAAGGTCAGAAACTAATTTCATATACAAAGTTCTGAAATTGAATTCCAGGAATGCCATCTTGAGAAGTTTTTTTTCATAATTAAAGGGCAAGGTTTTCTTTATTAAATTATATTTCTATTCCTAAGGCCTCACAAGTATAAAATGTCAGCCATGACCAACTGTTCCCAAAAATAATTATCATAAGGTAAAAGAAACATGCTAATACCTCGTAATTCATTGTAATAAAATAGTCGAAACTCCTCGTAGTTCCTCCTTTCTTCTTTTGGTTCTCTAATCACTTGAGCTATCAAGGCATTCTCTTTGGTCAAGAATTCCATTAACCAGCGACAACAATAAATAAAAAGTCACATAGCAGCCAAACTGGCGCCGTTCACTTCTTATTCTTCCCGTCTGTATAAGTTCTACAAATTTCCAAAATGGTCAGCTAGACTCTTACACCTAGGTCTTTAATTGTGACCAACGAAAGAAGCTGTGGGCCTAGCCCATTATGCACTCACTATATTTTTTTATTTTTATTTTATAGAATCACTTTATTACTCAACTAATATGTACCATTGTAAACTAAGCCATGCTATTCAAATATATATTTCAAATAATATTCTTCATATTCCTCAATACCTAAATATTAATTTTAATTATAAACATATCTATGCACTTATATGTAAAATAAATATTTATTATTGTCCATATAATAACTAAGGAATTATAATTAAAGAATTAACTTAAAAGTTCATTCTTAAAATATTTGGTTATTACATTCTCCCCCACTTAAAATAAACGTTCGTCCTCGAACGAGTTAAAAAGTGTACCTGGCAACTCAAACAACTACTGCATGTATCTCCCTCACACTCATGTATAGCTTTCTCTATCGAATGTTCAGGATAACACTCTCACTTAAGCAACCTTCTTCAACCTCATCAACTACCGTACTTATCTATCAATAATAGTTATGGGACCTCGTTCTTATGTCAAATTTTCACCTAGTTCCAGATCTTTAGCTGAATCATATGAGTCTCATCATGAACGCATAAAATATAAGGTGTACAACTCAATGTCCCCAAGGCAAAATAAATTTATACGCCACTAATCCAATCTGATCCAAAAGCACGTAACTCCTTTCTAGTGAAAATGTTCTTAAAAACTTTTCACATTTCATGAACTCCAATTTATGATCTTATTTATCAACAGAGGCGGATCCAGGATTTCAGAAGGATGGGTGCATCACTATCCGACCACCGTTTGATTTGGTTCTCTAAAACTTACCTTGGAAAACTATCAATAATAGCATCATTATTTATAGTTACAAGTACTAAAGCTCAATATATTAAAATTAAATAACTAATCAAAAAGAGAGTGGTAAATGAAAAAAGAGGAAACTTGAAATTGAAAAGATTTAAAATGATTTAAATTTTATTTTTTATAGTTTTTGAAACTCAATGATTGAACTAAAAAATAGAATGAAGAAAACACAGAAAAGAATCCAATAAAAATGAAAATTTAATTCAAGGATATATCAAAGGGTGAACCCAAAAACATAAGAATTGTATGGGAAAAAAAGAAAAGAAAAGAAAGATAGGGCATGAAATTTGAACAGAACAAAAAAGAAAAGAACGAAAAAGAGAAATAGAAAAGGAAAAGAAAAATGGATACGAGATGGAAAATATAGAAGCGAGATTTGAACACTGGACCTAGGGGTCAATGACGCACAAAGCTACCACTACACCAAATGCTCTTTTGACCATGGGTTCCCACGCAAAAAATTAAATACTTTATCCGAAAAACATCCCTGTGATATACAACCCAAGGAGGGGAGCATGGGTGCACGTGACACATGCCCCTCCACGTGGATCCGCCTCTGTTTGTCAACATAGGAGTTATGTCTACTCTGCAATAATTGAAACCACCCCAGTGCTCAATGCAACATCTTTCATGCGTTGCTAATCAAATTTGGACCAAACAATTGTGACTTACCATATTCAACTAACCACGTAGAGCAAAACACTGGCACCCACATCAAGCCTAAAATGACAAGATCTGAATATCGAGTTAGTAAACTACTATCATCATGTACTCGGTTAAAAACAACTGATCATGAGCCACACGTTATACAATACCTATCCAGCTAGTAATGGGACTGGATATCCATACCCTCTTACATTTACTTAGCTCGACCACAAACAATAGCCACAACCATGGTCCTACAATGGAATACATTCATATTTTTTTTTTTTACATAAAGTAGTTTTGAAACATATTTGAACACTATCAAATAGCGCTCTTATGTATGGTAGCGCTGGAACACATCCATACGCCCCTACCAAATACTCTCATATACAGCGGCACTAAAGCATATTCATATACCCCTACGTGAATATTCCATAATTTGTTACCTTTGTCACACATGAAAATACAGACACCTATGCCATTTCACTATCTACTGAATATATCGCTCCATAGGCTAGTATATTATCTAAGAAATTCTAACTCAACTAGGCTCTATATCTTGATGAGCCTAACTAGGACCACAATTTACTCAATGAACGTGTAGACTAACCACAAAGTCTACAATGGTCCATTTCCAATTTCTCTTGAAATAAACCATGTTCGCGAAAACTTTTCAACCCTCTAACACTCACATTTAACAATGAACAGTTCAAATATTGAGGAACAAATTTATAGATCTCGTTCTCTGATCATAATGCATATTTTTGGATCTCAAACATGCTAAATTTAGAGGGAAACAAAATTTTATCTTAACAAATCTTTACAAGTCACCTGCCACATGTTTACACACATTTGACTCTAAATCATATCTGACGTAAGAGAAAAACCTTTGGACTTGTATCACTTCTACTTTGCTCTTAAGACTTTAAAATTTGGCTTACTATCAAAATATCCGACATAGTTTCCTTGTAACTAGAGCTATCCAATAATTCTAACATGTCTAAACAACACAATTCTAACCCCTCGATTCAGAACCACAATTGGTACATCTGATTACTCAAGCCCTATCTTTATTCTTATATATACAATGTCATCTCATTATTGTTGCTCATGTTCTTCAAATTTATGCTTTACCAAACACAACTTTATGTGTCAATAGAGTCGCACAAACTAATTTCTTTTCCCGAGGATAGTCATATCATTTTATTTTAAGTACTCAAACGTAATGTATGGCTTATCTATTTTCAGCACATAACCAGGCAGATAAAACACATTTTCAAAACGGGTTTTAAAAAAGCAAGCATCAAAGCTTAAAGTCTCACTTACCTCATTAATGACAATTTCCTCAACCTTGCAACATCTAGAACACCGGCCAAATGACCTCCAATAACCTCAATCTATACAAAATATTGATAAACAATGTCAACTGTATTAGTTGGGATCATTTCATAATTTTCTTAATTGCAGCTCAAAGCTAAGTCTCGACATTTACACCTAGGTCATAAACTTAAATGATAAAACTATCCTAATATCACAATTTAAACTTCAATAACCATACAGTACGAAACAGACGTCCAAATAGGTCTTAGATGCACGTTATGGACGAATTCTCATTCTAACCTTGCACCTAATTTTGAAAGCTCATCAACCATTACTCTTCATGTGTTCAATCATTGCACAATTATTAAAAAGATAGAAATCATAACCCATCATTCTAATTCATCAATACACAGATATCTATAGTTAGAGTTGTAAAGCTCATAATTTATCGTACAAATTCAACATATGTGTGCAAAGGTCAGAAACTAATTTCATATACAAAGTTCTGAAATTGAATTCCAGAATGCCATCTTGAGAAGTTTTTTTTTTCATAATTAAAGGGCAAGGTTTTCTTTATTAAATTATATTTATATTCCTAAGGCCTCACAAGTATAAAACGTCAGTCATGATAAACTGTTCACAAAAATAATTATCATAAGGTAAAAGAAACGTGCTAATACCTCGTAATTCATTGTAATACAATAGTCGAAACTCCTCGTAGTTCCTCCTTTCTTCTTTTGGTTCTCTAATCACTTGAGCTATCAAGGCATTCCCTTTGGTCAAGAATTCCATAACCAGTGATAACAATAAATAAAAAGTCACATAGCAGCCAAACTGGTGCTGTTCATTTCTTATTCTTCCCGTCTGTATAAGTTCTACAAATTCCCCAAAATGGTCAACTAGACTCTTACACCTAGGTCTTTAATTGTGACCAACGAAAGAAGCTGTGGGCCTAGCCCATTATGCACTCACTATAATTTTTATTTATTTATTTTATAGAATCACTTTATTACTCAACTAATATGTACTATTGTAAACTAAGCCATGCTATTCAAATATATATTTCAAATAATATTCTTCATATCCCTCAATACCTAAATATTAATTTTAATTATAAATATATCTATGCACTTATATGTAAAATAAATATTTATTATTTTCCATATAATAACTAAGGAATTATAATTAAAGAATTAACTTAAAAATTCATTCTTAAAATATTGGGTTATTACATCCTGAGTCAAGAGGGGTGATTATGTTGTCAAGAGGATGTGAGCTTTTGTGCTTCCCATTTGGCACTTGAATCTCATTGCTAGAAGACCCAGGTATGTCTGACTGAGGTTCTTGGTTGCTTCTTACTTTAGCAAGTGGAGTACCTTGGACTGCATCAATAACTCTATTTTCAGCTTCAGTTGGTGTGATCATGGGACCAGGTTCCTCCTCAACAGATGGAGGTACACTTGCGTCATCTTCACTGGATTCCTTTTTATGACTCTATCATGTCTGCTTTTCCATTTGCTATGTCAATGAATTCTCCTAGAATAGATAAGGGTTCTCCATCTTGATCAACATGTCTGTCTTTCTCGCAAGAGAGGTGAGATTCATCAAAGATCACATGTATACTTTCCTCAGCACATTGAGTCCTTTTGTTGTACACTTTGTAAGCTTTACTTTGAGATGAGTATCCCAGAAAAATTCCTTCATCACTTTTGGCATCGAATTTTCCAAGAGCTTCCTTTCTATTGTTGTGAACAAAGCATTTACACCCAAAAGTCCTTAGATGTGTCAGCTTGGGCTTCCCTCCATTCAACAGTTCATATGGAGTTTTGTTCACAAGGGACCTGATCATGCACCTGTTCACCAAATAACATGCAATGTTGACAGCTTCTGCCCAGAAGTTCTTTGCGATCCCACTGTAAATCAACATTATTCTTGCCATGTCCTCAAGAGTTCTATTCTTTCTTTCCACAACACCATTTTGTTGAGGTATTCTTGGTGCTAAGAAATTGTAAGTGATAGCATTTTCGGTATAGAACTCATCAAATTTGGCATTGTCAAACTCTGTCCCATAATCAGATCTAATGCTGGCTACCTTATTACCGATCTTCACTTGGATCTTCTTGACAAAAGCAACAAACACTTCAAAAGTTTCATCCTTGGTCCTGAGAAATAAAGTCTAGGTGAATCCAGAGTGGTTATAAATTATCACAAAGATGTACTTCTTTCCTCCTCTACTTGGCACCCTCATAGGTCCTCATAGATCCATGTGAAGGAGATCAAGTGGACTTGAGGTGCTGACTTCCTTTCTGGGCTTGAATGAGGATTTGACTTGCTTGCCTTTTACACATGTGTCACACACTTTGTGATCTTTGAAGCTTGACTTGGGCAAACCACGAACTAGGTCCTTCCTAACCAATTTGTTCAGCAATGTGAAGCTTGCATGACCCAACCTCTTGTGCCATAGTTCAGTATCATCATCTACAACACTTAGATAGCTGAGATCACTATTCTGCAGAGACTCAAAGTCAGCAATATAGATATTTTTGGTATCTTTTTTCCACTAGCACCATTTCACCAGTCACTAGGTTTGTAACTATATAGATTTTTGACACAAATTCCACCATGTTTCCCTTGTCACAGATCTGGGAAACACTTAGCAAGAAATACTTCAACCCGTTCACAGAGTACATATTTTTGATTGAGTGCGAGAGATAATTCCCAATCCTTCCAACTCCTAGAATGTATCCTTTCTTTCCATTTCCAAATGATACATTCCCTCCTTGCAAGGCCTTAAGTGAAAGGAAATCATTTGTACTTTCAGTCATATGCTTTGAACACTCACTATCCATGTACCATGTAGGCTGCTTCCTTTCACTGTTCTCTACACAAGCAAATTAGGAATTAGACTTAGGAACCCAAACTAGTTTGGGTCCCTTATAATGAGGAAAGGGATGAATGAGAGATCTTTTGGTCCATGCATGCATCATGCATTTTTTATATGAGGGACCAGGTTCTCTACCAGTAGTTACTTTTTTAGCAAAAGATTTATTTTTCTGCTGTGACTGAAATCTGGCCTTACAATTTTCTTTAAAGTGCCCATTGTTACAGCAGTGAGTGCAAAACCAATTGTCAAATATAGTAACATACTTGCTATGAGGGTTGTAGGGAATCTTTTGCCTTTGAAACCCAAACCCTGCCTGTTTCCCCCATTGTTGGTGTACATGGTAGTGATAGCATCAGTGGACCAGGTCCATTTGAGTGACTTTTCAAGATCACTCTTCACTTTGCCTAGTTCTACCTGAAGTTATTTGTTTTTCTCAAACTCAGCACACAAACATTTCACTGAATTTAACTCACTTTCAAGCTTAATGTCGCTTGCAACTTTCTTTTCCTTTTTATAATTTTCAGGCCTACTCTCCATTTTAAGTTTCCTAACTGTTTCCTTCAAATACACTATCACCACTAATAGGTCATCTCTCTCGTGCTCAAGGTTAGTAACTTTCTCATATAAGAATTCTTTTTCCCTTTTTACACGCTCAATGGTCTCTTTTAGGTCTACCACTAGTACCATTAGATCATCTCTTTCATGATCTATATTTGCAATTTTTTTTATCTAAGGCATCCTTCTCTTTCTTCAGGTTCTCAATTATTTCCTTTAAATCAACTACAACGATTACACGGTCATCTCTGGTCTGTTCTGCTTCTCCTAACTTCGCAGTTAAGGCGTTTTTATCATTTATAATACTGTGATAAGAATCAATTAACACATTTGCTAATGGCATGAGTTTTTTAGGAGAATAATTTTTCAGATTTTTTTGAACATCCAGAAAATTTACCTCATCATCGTCATCATCTTCATCATCATCATACTGAGCCATCAAGGCAAAGATTGAATCATACTCAGTTGCTTCACTTTCTACTGCCATCATTAAACTATCACCATGATCATTTTCTTCTTTAGATTCACTGGAAGAGTCTCCCCATACAGCAAGAGCTTGTTTTACAACATTGTCAGCGACTTCTTTCTATTGAAGCGTTTATAAGGACCGGATTTGTCACGACCAAAACCGATGGGCCGCAATGGGCACCCGGTACCTTATTCAACTGAGTACCAACGTAATGTATCTTTCATATCATTCTATCATAGGTAAATGAACTGGAGTAAAGCATGAGGGAATACAAACTTATATATATGAGGTACATGCCTATAAGACCAAAATAACCACTAGTGTACTGAACATGGGCCGACAAAGCCATACAATCTTTTACGTACATAATATTTGTCTACAAGCCTCTAAGAATACATAATTTTCATAAAGGTTAGGACAGGGTCCCGCCATACCAAACAATACATGTCCAAATCATACTAACCAATAAACAACTCTAAATCAAATGGAGCGCACCAACATCTTCCGCTGAGCTAATAGCCTACTTGGAGGGCTCTCGACCTGTCTATCGGGACCTACGGATATACAACGCAGCGTCCCCAGGTAAAAGGGATGTCAGTACGAATAATGTACCGAGTATGTAAGGCACATAAATAAGTACATAACAGACATGGAAGAAATATAGAGTAAATGACTCAACCTGTAAGTCTGGATAACTCTATAAATCATGAAATACTTATAGTGTCATGCATATGCGTATGAATGTCATATCGTGTATAGGTACATGTGTTCATAACATCATCAAGCCTCTGAGAGCGTCCCATCATATCATCTCGGCCACTGTGGGCAAATCATCAACGTATACCAGCTAATCAGGTGGTAGTGCATATATACTGGCATAACCTTTTCCCATATCCCAAATACATATAATATACATATATACGCGTATATAACACCACCTGGTCATGGGTCAATGTACATGTATAAATGCATGAAATGCATAAGAAATACATTAATAAAATTTTTCTCGGAATGTATACAAAATAGACCCAAACATGTTGTACTTGTTTGCAGGGTTTGGTAATAAAGGTGACAATTAGTTAAAACCAGCTCAAAAAGGAGTGAAACATGGACAATTACCTAGAACAAGTCCAAGCATAGTGCAACAGATCCACTGCGGCCGCATTCCATTTAGTACGATCCGCAGTGAGTAGATTCAGAGAGGTGCATATTTTGGAAACTCAAGCACTAGCGGCTGCAAAAGCATTTAGTGCGAACCGCAGTGGCCTCACCGCAGCCGCAATCGAGTTTGTGCGGTCCGCAAAGATGGGGTTCAGAGAGTTGGGAGTTTGGAGATTAATGCCAATGCAGCCGCAGTCCTTTTTGTGCGGACCGCAGTTGAAGCCACCGCGGCCGCGGTGCATTTTATGCGGCCCGCGGTGGCCAAGTTCAGAAAGCAGAGACTTGAAGCCAAAAAGCCTCATCGTGGCCGCACTCCATTTCTTGCAGTCCACGGTACCTCCGCAGGGGTATTTTTGTCCAGAAAATTTGGCCTAGTATAAATACTTTCTTTTCCCATTTTTAGGTCATCTTTTGTAATCTAACTTTCAGCTGAGCACGTGAACGGTGGTTTTTGACTAGTTTGAGTAATTTTATAGTGGGTTTATCATTGAATCTTCAATTATTAGCTTGTAATTAAATATTATGGGTTACTCTTCATCTATTTCTTTGTTTTCTTCCATTATTATGAGTAGCTAGACCCATTAGCTAGGGTTGTGGCTCAACCCTAGTGTGGGTATTTGATGGGTCTTTTGATTTAAGGATTAGATGTTTATGGGTAGTTGGTATTGGACTGATTTGTGTTTTCGATGTTGAATTAGTGGTTGCAAACACTAATTTGTGCCTATTTGACTTGGGTTCTTCTTGAGAAAGAGAACTTGAGTCTAGGAAAATCAGTCCAACAAGGAATTAGGGTGTAATCAAGAG